TACAATTTGGTAAACTACAAAGTAGCAAGTATTTACCATATACCTACCGGTTAATACCAAATTGAATACACCCTGAATTTACCCATTGGGTACATACCGGATACATACCTTGGGTATTTACCCAAATTTCAATATACCGGGTTGTAAAACAGGTTTTTGACATTTAAAAAATATACTGTACTTTATATGTATATTTAATAATTTATAAGTTATTACCTATATCTTAATAAAATGTAGTAAATATTTATTACATAAAATATATTGATTTAACCTGGTATTTTATTTGATAAAAATAGCCATAAACTATTTTAGACAAAATTGCATATAAAAGAAAAACGCTAGCAAATATATCGATAATTACCTATTACGTTGACACCCGGTATGCAAGACTTATCCAAGCTATTTTTAGCCTGATACCCTGAGCTATAAATCTTTAAAACGCCGTATGGAAAGCAATATATTTTGTAGCAGATGTATTAGTTCTAAATTCGTGTATTCCGCAAAAAATAAATATATGCAATTCTACGTTGGAATGAAGTTGCAACTGAAACATTAACGTAAAGTTTGCTACACTGCAAGGCAATAATGAATACCTAAAACTCGCATGGGACTTCCTCCATGCATAGCTTAGTAAAGGATAAAATATTCAACAATCGCACTCCTCAGATGTAACAAGGCTGCTCATTAACCTTTCCCGGCGATTTTTTAACTCTTTGTTGGACGCGGAAAACCCTTTCTTTAATAACTCGCAAATGAGGCGTTAAAAATTCACCGTCACGAGGGTAGTTTAGCTTGACTTATCCACATAATGATTAAGTTTAACCTTCAATTAATTAAAACAATGTTATTTTATAAATTTAGTCGCACATTTAGTTATTTAAAACATTTGTTAATAACACTTATTCACTGATCAAGTGGCTTCGTGGGTAGTTTGCTAATGCTATAGTATAAAAACACAACTAACAATGTATATGTTACAGACTGTAACTTACAGTCAATGTATAATTTCGGTAAATGTATTTAAAAACTCTTTAACTTTCTTACCTACTTACTAGTAGATGTTTACATTGACGCCACAAAGGCAGCAAAAGTGTACATAAACTAAAACTAACCAACCCAATTCACAAAAACATCAACTTTTAAACTTTTACACTTTTACTAGTACAAGTTACACTTTTACTAGTAAAAGTACATTTTTACTAGTAAAAGTACACTTTTTCACGTAAATGTATACACTAGCTAGTTTTTCTATACTTCTCTTAAAATGTATACTTTGACTGACAAATAATGAAAATTTTAGCTCTCTTATAATGAAATAAGTAGCAGAAGTTGGTTTTATGGGTATTTATTTAGGGGGACCTATTGCACGTTGGGGGACACCTTGCGTCGAGGAATATTTGTTTCAGCCCTTCACTGGGGGACGAATGGTCGCCTCGATGGAATTAAGGGTTTGGTTATTTTTTTACGGGAGGAAATTTTGCGACATATTTTTGGAATGTTTAATTTTTCTTCTTTGCCTTGTTTTTTTCTGTAAACAGGGTATCCCAGAAGTCGCGCACCACCTTGAAGGTGTAAGATCTACAGACCCCAAGGAATCCAAAAAAATTGTTTAAAAAAATCTACTTTCACAATTTACAGGGTGTACATATATTTTTATATTTCAACATTGCTTACTAATAAAATTTATTATTTAATAGTGGATTTATTCCTAATCGTCATGAGAAAAAACAACAGAATTATAAAGTGTCAAATTCGTTACTTTTACTTAGAGGTTATTTTACGACAGCCTTGCATAGATTAGATAAAGTAGCTTGACAGCCTTGACAGAAGCAAATATATGGAGCAACTAATAAAACCATAAGTCTGTAAAGAAAAACTAAACAAATATTAACATTAAATTGACATACACACAGACTACCTGACAGTTTTAACCATTCTCCAAACACAACTCACTGAGTATTACTGAGTTTTACTCAGTAAATATTCCTTACTAAAGAAATACATATCAATAATTAACAGACATGCTATGACAGAATCTAATTTTAAATTTTAACTGTCCATGATTTTATATCAAAAGATAACAATTAATTGTTGTGATAATAAATTGTTGCTCATTATGTGCACAACGCATGCGTATTGTTAAATAAAATATCTTAATAGTATATTATGTATCAAGTTTGATAAACGCCATTTTATACACGAATTTAATTTAGGCACGAGCGAGCTTGCGAGCGAGTGGTTAAGTTAATGAATGTATAGAAAAGTTTATAAACGAGGTGCACACTATACTTTTTCTACGACAAATACTTATTATTATCTTAAAATGATTTTAATCAAAAATTTGTATAGAGCGCCATCTATGAAACAACAGGGGAAACTGTCAAATGTCACATTTTTACATTTTATAAACACAATTATAAAGGATATAAATCGAAATGTATATTGAAAATTGATAGTTTTTCACAGTGAAAGTAAAGGAAATGTTTTATGAGGATTTTACAGTAGAGTCCGTGCCCGAATTTAAGTTATAGTTTACTGCCGGCGAAATTAAAAGGTCAGTACAATGTTCATATAAACTTTTCAAATATTGGCGTTGAGAAACTATTTAATATTTTTGTATTTTTGTATTGAGATAATAAAATAATTTTCACATTTAGTATTATTTTACAAGAAAGGCACTTTATTTTAACGATTGTATGACATTTAACAACTGTCAACTAACTTAAAACTAACTGACTAAAAACCTGCTGCTAACTTCAGACCGTGACTAAAGCGCCGTAAAGCCACAACTTGTCAATGTGTATTTAAAAGGTCACTTAGTGTCATGGAAACATGTACGATAAAGGGGGTTTTAAAAGTGGGAGTAGAAAAAATACACTTGTTTATGAGATGACATTCATTTCTAATTAAACCATTGTTTGAGCATTCTATACATTAGACCTTATCTATATAATACGAATACGAATACAAATTAAAAGAATATAATTAGGGTAAACCTATTATTTTTAATCTTTTTAAATAATGAAGATAGAATTAACTATTTTCTGAGATTCCTGGTGGTCTGTAGATCATCCACCTTCAAGGTGGTGCGCGACTTCTGGGACACCCTGTATTTTTTGTCACTCCCCAAGCAAAATATGGATGTACATATCGAGAAAAAAATGACTTTAAAATATGCGATTACACAATTAGATGCTCTTCAAAAGTACTTGCAAAAATTTTTATACAACCTATATTTTCTACCTGTCATATTTTTAATAAAAACAAAAGTATTTTTTGTATTTTTACTGTAAAACGGTTAAAGTTACAGGTAAAAAGAAACAAATATTGTTAAAAATTTAATTTAGTTCCCTATAAAAAAATTATATGCATTTATCCAATAAAATGCATAGTTTAAAAGATATAGAGCATTTAATAAATTTAACTGTCAAATTTCGATAAAACTTAATTAGTTTATGAATAGTTGACCTTAAAATTTATTAAATGCTCTATATCTTCTAAACTTTAATTTTTATTGCATTAATTCATAAAACTTTTTGTAGAAAATAAACTTCCTATAAAAGTTTTGTTTACTTTTTACCTATAACTTTAACCGTTTTGCCGTAACACAACTAATTAGTTCATGAATATTTGACAGTACAATTTATTAAATGCTTTATTTCTTTTAAACTAAGTATGCATTTTAATGCATAAGACTTCTTTGTAAGTAATTGAATTCTATATTTATTATAAGAGTATTTATTACTTTTTACCCCATTTTGCCGTAAATCAACATAGTACTAATTAATTTATCAATATTTGACACTAAAATTTATTAAGTGCTCTATAACCCTTAAATTATACAAAGCAAAGGATCTTTTTATAGTAAATTTACTATAAAAATCTAATTAACTTTTTACCTGTAACTTTAACCGTTTTGCCGTAAAATATAAAAATACTGTTTTTTATAAAAAAAAATGACTTCGGTGACGTTTAAAAATCTGTATTAATTGTAGTAAAATTCATGTACAAATCGCACCTATTTAAATTGTAGTAACATAAAATGTCGCCAAGGTATAGGAAATTGAAAAAAAAATCAATAATTTTCCATTATGTTACATGTTATTTTAATGGTAAAACTTTAAATTCGAAATAAAAGTATTTTTTCTCAATATTTTTCTTGGGGAGTGACAAATAATAAATATTCCTTCAAAGCGAATCGGCCTAATAAATATGTACTAATTTTTTGCAAGATCTTATAAACAAGAGCTAATTAAACAAAATGGTCATTTTATGAATTAGCGCACCCAATTACCCTAGAAAAGTTGTTGGCAAAATTGTTGTCGACCAGTGTTATTAATGAAGATTTTTGTTTTAAGTGTTATAATATTTAGTTAAAAATTTAAACTGTTTCATAAAAAAGTTTTAATTGCTTATGCTTGAATCTTTAATTCGTGGTAACATTTAAAACCAAGATAAACTCAAGATTATATGGAAAATGATTGTTGTTGAGTCATATATGAATGAATAATACTATCAGTATGTATATGTTGAAATTTGTGTTGAAACTATTTGCGGTTAAAGATGTGTAGTTGGCGTACGTACAATTTTAAATGTTAGTTATATAATATAGGGCATGTAACGAATTGAAATCCTACATAAAATAAGATAGAAAACAAATTAGAGAGATAAAAATTTTTGAGTATGTATTGTTACAAATGCGATTCATAGATTTTAAATAAATTTTAAACTATGTATGTGTTTTAAAATATTGCAAATAATATATGTGTGTTTATCAAATAATAATAATAATTTATGTTGCAGTATTAATTTGAAATGTAAATTAAATGAATATTTAACTAGTTAAACATGCCCTAAGAAAATGTTAAATATTATCATAGTTATTTAAATTAAATTATATTTTTCTTAAAATTGTTTTTAAATGTTTGCATAAATTTACAGTTTTTTTAATAATCTAGTGATTTTAATTAAATAATTTATCAATATTAATTTTGTTTCAGGTACATACTTGTGACAAATCCACTGACAAATAATGGCCCGACTTATGAGACTTCTTCTACTAAGCATATTTGTGATATCTACTAAATCCGAAGATGACTGGACTAAAAAATGTAACAGGTGTAAATGTATATGGGCCAGTGGTAGAAAAACGGCTGATTGTACATCCATTGGTTTCTACGAAATACCAACAAATCTTTCCAGTGACATACGTGAGATAGATTTTTCAAATAATCCACTAGGACAATTCGGAAAAAATGTATTCAAAAATGCCCATCTAACGGATATTCACAAGTTGAAGTTTCAAAATTGTAGCATTCAAAATTTGCATGGTGAGGCCTTTAATGGCCTTTTGCTACTCATTGAACTGGATTTATCTAGAAATGAATTATCCACCCTGGATAAAAATATATTTAGCGAGAACATTAAATTAAGAGTTATCAATTTTAGTTATAATAAAATCAAAGTGATTGAATCCGGATTGTTTTATAATATGACATATGCACAGAAAATTTCTTTGGATCATAATGAAATTGAAACACTAGAAAAGAATACGTTTAGGTATTTACCTGCATTGCAGCATATAAGTTTAGATAATAACAAATTAAAATCACTTTCCTTGGATTTTGAAACCATGCCAAAACTAAATAGCCTTAGCCTCAAAAGTAATGCTTGGATATGCGATTGCCACCTGCAAAAATTTAGAAATCATGTTAAAATTAATAATTTGGATACCGAGGCGGTATCTTGTGAAGGACCAGAAAAGTATAAAGGAAGGCAATGGGGTGAAGACATAGTGTTTGCCTGTTCTCCTTATATCTTAGAACCGACTCCTAATATGGTAGTTAAAGTAGAAGATTCCAATGTAACATTATTTTGTAAAGTAACTGGCAATCCGCCTCCTGATGTAGACTGGATAGGCACTAATGGTAGAACTCTAGATAGAGATCCCAGAATAACGAAACAAAAATATGTAGTTAGTAAGAGTACTTCTGGAGAGTATACTTACAACAATTTGACAATAACAAATTTTAACTATAGAGACCGCGGTGAATACAAATGTTTAGCAAAAAATCCTGGAGGTGAGGATGAAATAAACATTACGCTATCGTATCCGGTGGGACACAACTCGTTAAACCAGCCTTTGGGCATTAATATGGGCCTTATAATAGGCCTAAGTGTTGTAATTCTCGTGACATTAATCATAATAGTAGTGATATTGGTGTTTTTTTGTAAACGAAACAGTGCGAACGCTGCCAATCAAAAACGTAACGACGATAGTGATGGCCTAGAAGAGTACATAGGTATGAGAGACCACCAGCCGGATATGAAAAAACAATTAATCACCGATGTCAATCCTGTGTCAAAACCCCCGAGAGTTACAGTGCCAGGATCAGTGACATCTGGGGGCACCGAAGTCAGTGACCAGAAACGAATTTTAATGGATACCGATTCGGTTTATGGTAAGTTTTTTATTAAGTTTACTTAAAAAAAATAATTTATTAGTATCTGTTTGGTTTTTACAGAATGTTGACATAAACAAAATATTTATCTTTAAACTCAAAATTTAATTTATTGTTAAATATTTTAAAATTAATTGCATCAAAATAGCACTTTAAAACTAAAATTGTTTACAGGATAATTAAGAATTCATGTATATGTTAAAATATTAAAACTAAGAGGAAGAATGTTTTCACCGATTTTTAAAAGTCTTTAACTTCAAAGAGTAACATGCAAGGGTGGTAAAGATTGTAATACTTACTGGATTTAAATTAGGCACTGTGCTCTTTATAAAGCTGGTTTATTTTTAACCAAAAATATACAGACCTTCTATACATATTTATATCAAAAATTGTTAATTATAATTATTTTTAGACGATGACTCTTACCACGAAGGCTCCTTAATGCCATTGATGCGAAAATCGCAGTTGATTCTCGACGATTTCCGACAACCCTATCCTCCCGATTTATTGTCGTTCCCTTCTCGAGCCCTTCAACCTTCCCCAGCGGGTTCGTCAGCTTCGACTGTGGCAGACACCAGTAGACTCCCGCCTCATCAGGGACCGCAGTCGCCACTATATGGTCATATTAGTCCAAATGAAAACCTCTACAGGACCCTGCCGATATCCAGGTCTCAATCACCCTTTGTGAGCGGGGTTCCTCCAAGAATCCCCAGGTTAGGTCAGGGTTACGTTACAATTCCCAGAAGACCTAGGCAGAGTTGGAGCAGCGAGCCTCCACTGTCCGATATAGGTGAACCATTATACGATAATTTGGGTCTTCGAACATCCATAAATGGTAAGTTTAAAAAAAAATTTATTATCGACTTTACAAAGAAGTATCAATTATATTTAGGCAGCTATGCTAATTCGCTCAACAAAATGGGTGGTGACACTTCCACTCCAAAGTCGAATCGACTGTTTCCGTCTTCACCGAGCACCATCGATCCAATAGCAGAGCACGAATCTACACCCACAGCGCAAACTTTGCCGCGCAATTTTAACAAATTGACACCGAGTAGAACAAATTGGGCAAAAGCCAACGCAGAGGCGCTCCGAAGTCCGGAAAAAAGAAAAAGTACGACGTCTCTACCTGGAACAGAAGGTATTTTTTATTTTTCAATTCTTATATTCTGGTAATACTCACACAATTTATACCTAATATCCAGATTATACTGTTTTTTGTCAATTTTTATTAATTGTTTTATATATATATTCTTATATGCCTTTATTTAAAAGGTAAAAAGGTGCCACCACGTCCCCCACCAAAACCCAAAAAGCAATCACCAAGCCGACCTCTTTTCGAAGACGAGGGTGAAGATGGCACAGAAGTCTGAGACTGGCTGACGCTGGTGCTCCTAAAAGCACTGGTAGTCGCAACTGTTTGAAATAATTGTGGTGCTAAACAAACAACATGTTAAAAAGGACCAAGTGTCGTGAACACAGGGTTTTTAGATACGAGAACTATAATTTTTAGCTCAAAAATATATTAACGTTTTGGTGAAAGATATTTCAAAGTAAATACTAAATAGGTCATACACAACTGCCATTTCTTAATATTTTAACTAATTTTACATAAAATGTTAAAGTGACATAAAAAATTTGGTTTTTCACCAAACAATGTATCCTAAATAATTTGTATGAATAAATGTGATATAAATTAATTATAAAATTAAATATATATTAAATCAAATTGCTGACCACTTCTTAATATAAATAGGACTTAACGAAAGAATATTATTGAACGTGGTAAATATTATAAATATATTATAAATTTGTTTAAATGTTTTTGATTAATTTATAATATAAATATATTCTGCAAATGTGTATTTAATTATGCAAAATATTACATTTTTAATTTTCCCATAATATTCTTAAAAGGGTTGAATTAATTTGACGCCTAATTTTCATATGTTAATACACTTCAGTTTGTAACTGATTTTGTATAAGGTTTGCCATTTTTGCTAAGAAACTTAAATATAAGTTAAGTATAATAGTTAATAAGTTTAGAGGTTTTTTAAATATATTGTGATAATTTATATTTTTGTATTCAGTGTAAGCTAAAAATAAGTTCATTATTTATTTTCTTTCATTAATTACAATATGGAATATAATATGATGCAGCATTAAAAAGGGTATTTTTTAATTAATTTCTTTGGGACTTGAACTAGGTACCTACTATTCTTTTAATTGAATTAATTTTTAGTTTCGTTCCACCATGTTATATTTCATATTTATTATCATTTTAATGTAGTTTCTTTTGTTGTTTTTGTACAAAATTCATAACATATTAGTGTACTTATTTTTTTTAAATTTTGTTATTACTGATGAAATGTCTATCAATTATTTTTTCTAAACATTTTAATGTTAAAATGTATACAAAAGTGCCTTTATAGAAAAACTTGTGTATGAGTGTAGGTAAATGAAATTTCTTTGTGGAAATTATTATTTAATTAGTGCTCATTATTTATACTCGATATGTTTTTAATTCTTTTTAAAAAGAAAATTTAAAGATATTTTTGCATTGTTAAAAGATTCATAATTTGTAGAGGCTTATTAAATAAATCTACTATCAGTTAGTAAATTCTTAAAAATTTAGTTAATTTCTACTTAAAACGTGTAATTAAAAGTTAGATGACAATTTTACAGAGGGACTTCAAGTACTATGAGCATTAAAATATTTTATTTCCACAAATAAATTCCCAATTTCCTCCTAACGTTAAAGCTTATCATCCCCTTTTAACTTAAACAATAAACAGTTTGCATGTTACCCTAAAGCCGGGCTTCCATTTTGACTGATCGTATATGAATGAGTAAAAAACGATTAGGAGTAAACTTTTAAATTAAAAAATTATCCCTCCGATAAAAAGAGACAATCTTGTGTCCACATACCGATTACTTATGTCCTTTCTTTTTAACACAAGCAATGGCGGACAACAATTATGTTTTTTAGTGAAAAAGTATTTCTTGCCTGACCTTGCTAACTGGCAGTATTATTAAAGCTAATATATGGAATAAAAATATGATCAATATGATTTTACCATTTAGATTAATAAAATTTATTTAAACCCATAAATAAATTTATAATTGTAGATGTACAAACCTGTAATAAAGGATATTTACTTTATTATACATTGTTTTTTACCATTTATTTTTTAATTTAATACAGACATCTACAATAATATTAAATAAATACATAAAATTAGTTTTATTATAAACAAATTAGATTGTAACAACATTTTTCAGGCTTTTTAATGTACAAAATACTAATTGAAATTTTTAATTAAAATATTAAGTACCTACCTAAATATTGTAAATAATATTTTCTATTATGTATCTTTATTATGATTATATCTAAATATATATTATAGAAACGCTAATTGTATGTATTAGGTTAAATAATAAAAAGAATATATCGAAATGAAATGTGTTTTATTTTTAACTGTGTCGGGAATGCAATCTTGGTATACCGCACGAAAATCATGCGCGCTCTCGCGAGATTAGGACGCAGCGCATTCCATGTGTGTTTTGTGTTTTTTGAGAAGTCATTTTCAAAATAATTTATAGTTTTTTCAATAAATAATTTTAGTCATGTTTATGTTTTTTGCTTTAATAGCTTGATGATTATTAGTATATAATATTATATACCACTAGTGGTAAAATTTTACCGATAAAATTTTGATATTTATACGAATGTTTTTTTCTTATAAATTTCGCAAGTAGCATTAATTTTCAAGATTTTAAATTAATGCCACGAGCGAAATTTACAAGAAAAAATAGTACCTATCTATTTAATGCCTTGTTTAACACTAAAATTTCAATTTCCAAATAAAGAGATTCAAAAAATAAAACTATAATAAATAGTATACAACCAAATTTAAAGAATTTATTATTATAATACAATATGGTATAATTATATATTAATATAATACCTATAATAATAGGTATTTGCACAATATTGTGGGTATTTTTTAAATTTAAAAAATATTAAATTTACAAAGGAGTCGTGCACACAAAATTTATAAAAATAAATGAAATGAAATTGACAAACGAAATTAAGTACACTGAGTAATCCCTGTCACCCCTGTCACCTGACGTTTTAAAAATATCTTCTCCCTCCAGCTTTACTAGATTTATGGATGGCCCTAAATTTGATAGCCCCCCAGGAAGAAATCCTGCGCACGGCTCGGGTTCCGCCACCTGAATGGAACAAGGAAAGTGAACATTTTTCTCTTCTTACTAAAAATCTAAAATCTCAGCAGGCGCGGATACAGGGGGGACCACTGGGTGCAATTGCCCCTCCCTAACTCAGCTATTTGTTGTTATTTGAGAATTGTTTTAAGACAAACAAACACAGCATTATGCAAAAATCTAAGAGTCTAAGCATTCGCGCCCCCCTAACTCACCTATTTTTTTTAAGACAGGCAAACAGCATTATGCAAATCCAAGTATTACATGGATATCAAACTTAAATTTTTACTTAATTTTTGTTTAGAACGCATGGATGATACTTGTATGTAAAATCACACAAAAATCTACCCACTCTTACTAATGTTTATTTTACCAAAATTATGTTTTTTCAATTTTGTAATTCATTGCTGACCCTTTTATGATCTTATAAAACACAAACTATTATAAAGCAGGCCCGTGCTCACGGGGGTTTTTAGGTGTTCAGGAGGGTTTTAAATTAGGATTTTTACTTAAGATACTGAAAAATAACCTAAAAATATATGTTTTTTATAAAAATGTTTAATATAGTGAATTTTTAAAATGAATAGACTATAGACATTTTTATGTGACAAAAAACAAATACCCGTTATATTTAAAATATGTATTTAAAATTTATTATTTCAGTGTCAAAGGTTAAGGCGAAGCGAGTGGATGTGTAGTTCGAGCGCTCAGTGCCGATCCATAATAAAATTCTTAAAGAAACAACTATTATATACAGTGTAGTCGAGTAAAGTACGGTGCGAAACAGTGATACTATTTTGGGTTACTATAGTATGTATACATACCTGTACAGGTGAAATCAGGGTACCTGTTCTCCGAGGGGTTAATAGAAACATTAAATAATTCCTCAAAAGGCAATCTCTCAACGGTGAACATAGGAGTGAGGTTCGTGCGGACACGAAGTAATAAAGTGACAGGGGACAGGTCAAGGAATCACCTATTTAAAGAAAAAAACAAGTCTAACAAAGAGCGAAAGGGATCATCACCATCACCAGCCGACTCTGATAAGTATTATTGCATGACCTAATACGCAAATCTGTAAAAAAAACCCTGTCAACAATTAACCATTGCCGAAATTGTATTATATATATTGTATAATATACGCATCTTGCAGCTCAGCCACAAGGCGAAGCTTGAAGGATGGCGAAGGTAAATAAACAAAGCGCCCACGCAATAACGTAAATAAACCATCTATTGAAGCATACGTTACACGCCTGACACTGGGCCGTATTTCAGATTTTAATGCGATGCACCACAGGGCAGGCTTTATTATTTTGTATTAATTTAGTTTTAAATTAAATTTGGAAAAAAAAGTAAGAACGCAAAGACACAAATTAAATAATAATAAACGGTATAAACACTAATTTAACAACAAAATAGTTCACCAACAAGGACAGGTTCTAGCAGCGTACCAACACCCCGGCTCAAAAATACAAGACCAGCACAGAAGAAAGAAGAACGACCAATAGCCAATGCAGACCATATGTTGGCATTCCACCACATACACTACAGGGCCGGCTTTATCGATTTTGTATATTAATATTTATATTTTTAAATTAAATTTGGAAAAAAAGTAAGAATGCAAAGATATAAATTAAATGAAAACGGTATAAACACTAATTTAGCAATAAAATAAATAAAGAGTATACAAGGTTGGTAGCCGGAGTAAGCAAAGAACTAACATACCCACCCCCATTCACGAATACCAATTGAATGGGGTTACTACTAAGGCCTAGGTTGAGGAGGATTCCGGATTGTACTTAGTTTTGGGTCAGTTCAATGTCCTCCAAAAACCTTTCCTAAACTGGACGTATGGCCCGACCCGGCTGACAAAAATTCCGGGAGCGGCCTTAACCTTTGACACTGTCATACACAACCTCCTAGGGTGGAACTACCAGCCGGCGTAAAAACTTTGGATCCAACAAACACAGGTAATGCTGTGATTTGGCGGGATACGCAGGAGAACGGAAAGGGGGTAAAATAACCCCGGGAGATTAGTGGATGACAATATATCTGGGGCCTGCCATACGTTCCCATACTCATACTCATACTCATACTCATGTATTTAAAATTTATTATTTCGTAAAAAAATTAAATAAAAAGTTTTATGCGAAATTATAAGGGGTGAAATTTTTATAAGTCGTTAGGTATTGTATTTTTATAATTTTTTTGGGCCAGTCTAGATGTCCATTCGGCCAATCTGGCATAGCGACCCACCGGGATACGTCCGGCGTCCCGCCGGAGCCCATCCGCCCCTGTATTTAGTATTAAGAAACCAAAAGAGATTTTTAAAAATATATGCAAACTATTAAAGAATTCTTCATTGATA